GCGGGGGCGTTGAGGGGGGGGGGGACAGCAACAGTCTACGTAAGTCTGGGTTTGGGGTGCGTCTCCGGGTGCTGCAAACTTGCCTGCAGCCTCAGCAGGGCAGGAGCCGGGGGAAGAGCATCCTCTGCCTCTGGTCTCGCTTCTCCCCAGCACAAAGCGAGGGTGTCTCCTGGTGCAGGGGGGGACTGGGGAGGCGGGGGGGACAGGCAAAAGCGGAGCACACCTTAATGAACTGAAAGGAAGGCCCTTGCTGGGAGAAGGAGGAGGAGGAGGAGGATGGTGGGCTGTGCATCCTCTTGCTGCTTGTGTCCTGTCTCAGCTCAGGCTGACCTGAACCCAGGGTGACTCTAGCTGATGCCACCCCCAACTCTCCCCAGTGTCCCACCTCTTTAGGGACCTGGCGCGCGAGCTGGCCCAGGGCCTGTGGGACGTAAATCACCCCGGGGCTGATGGGGAAACCGAGGCACAGTGCAGAGACTGGTTTTCTTCCCCTGGCAGAGGCAGGGGAGAAGCCAGGAGTCCGGGAGGCCCCCGCAGGGCAGGGTGGGGGGCGAGGAGCCGGGGGGACCCCGCCTCGTCCCGCAGACTCGACGCTGCCGGGCCTCCCTCCTCCTCGCCATCAATGGGCCCTTTCATGGGACGCGGGTGTTGGCCGGGGCCGGCGACCTGAACGCTGGTCCTGAGCTGCGCTGCCATCGGCAACGCCCGCGGCCCTGCAGCTGCAAACTGTTGTGCTTGGCTGCGGCGCCCGCCACGGCGCCCGCTCGGCGGCTCCCGTGTCCTCCGGCGTTTTATCGATGGGCGATGTCCCCTGTGCATCACTGCCGTGGGCTGTGTGTCCCCGGGCACCTTGTGCGTGGCTGCCCATGGGCTGCGTGTCCCCAGCGCCCTGTGCGTGGCTGCCCATGGGCCACGTGTCCCCGGGCACCCTGTGCATCGCTGCTTGTGGGCTGCGTGTCCCCAGCTTGTGGGCTGTGTGTCCCCAGGCACCCTCTGCATCGATGTCCATGGGGCTGTGTGCCCCCGGGCACCCTGTGCATCGCTGCTCGTGGGCTGTGTGTCCCCGGGCACCCTCTGCATCGATGTCCGTGGGGCTGTGTGTCCCCGAGCACCCTCTGCATCGCTGCTCGTGGGTTGTGTGTCCCTGGGCACCCTGTGCGTGGCTGCCCAGGGTGGGAGGCGCTGCGTCCACGCCGTCCTGCCGTGACACTGTTTAGGACAACCTGTCGGGAAGGGCAGGGATGGCGAGAGGCCGTGCAGCCCCGGCCGCCCCGCTCCCCTCCGTGCCCACCCCGCCCGCCAGAAACACCCTCCCCCCCCGGGCTCCCAGCAGCCGCCAAGAATAACCCCCTCGAAGGCAAGCGGTCCCGGCTGCCGTCAGCACTTCCCACCTGGCCTTTCCCAGCCTCTGCTCCTCGTTTATTTATTAATCCTTTTGCTCCCAGCTCTGAAATCCTGCCGCCCACCCTCGCCACCTCCCGGAAAGCACAGCTCTGGCCGGTGCTGGGGGAGAAAACCCTGCCCTTGCACATTTTTTTGCAGGCCCAGGGGAGGCGGCGGCAAACCCATCCACAAACACTGGCACAGCTGCTCCCCGGCCAGAAGTGCTCCGGCTTTCTGCAGAGGCAGGAGTTTGGGAAGGGGTGAGGAGGTCGGGGTGGGGGTTACAGCATGGCCGGGTCCTACCTAGTTGGGGGAAACTGAGGCACAGAGCGGTGGTGGGCATTTCCGAGGCTCCGGCGC